ATTTTGGGAGCACTGGAATCACCACAGTAGCAAAGAATTGAAAACTGAGGGGGTGCCCCTGAAATGTGGAATGGCTGAACAAGTTATGATATATGAATATGCTGGAATATGATTGTGCTACATGAAATGATAAAGGGAATGGTTTCAGAGACATTTTGGGAGACTCGTATGAATTGGTGCAGAGTGAAATGACTAGAACCAAGAGAATAATTTATACCATGACAACTTGTCTATCGGAAAGACAAACACTTTGGAAGGACTTGGGAACTCCGATCACCACAATGACCAGCCACAGTTTCGGACAATTCATGATGAAACATGCTGTCTGCCTCCAAACAGAGAGGTGAGACAGTTGTTTGGCTTTGCTTGGATGTGACCAACAAAGGGATTTGACTTGCTTGACTATATGTGTTTGTAACAGGGGGATCGTTTTTCTTGCTTTCTCAGAGGAGGCTGAGAGGGAGAAGTGGGAAGAAGAGAATGTGGACTTGAAAATAAAGTTGAATTTGATAAAGGAATAAACCCCAGATCAGCCACTGCTTCCGTTAAACCTGACCTTCATTCTCACCATGGACTCTGGTCCCCCCTTTTTCTCCTGGACTCTCTTCCTCCCTAGCTTCACTTTCCTTCCTTCATCATCTTGACATTAATCAATTTTTTTTAAAAGTGTTGCTCTCCACCATTGATTCTCTTGACCCCAGTGTTCATGCTCTGCAAATCCCCAGCCTTGGGTCACCCCTAGCCTCCACCTTCTGCGCTATGGCTCTTAAGCCATTCGTAGGCACTATGTCACCAACAGAGCGCTCCACCTACTTGGCCTGGCTCGCTTGCACAGCAATCCTCATTTCAGCCTTGATTAACTATCACACTCCAAGCAACAGCTGTCCTGAACTTCTTCTTAGCACCCACCCACTCCCCCCTATCCTTCCGCTCAGCAGGTAATGCTGCTTTGCTGAGGAGATTGCCGCCATCTGTGATGAACTAGCTGCCTCCTCCACCTCTCAAACCCCACCTCCTTCTTCATGAGTCTCCTGCTCACAGCCTCAGAGGAAGAGGTGGCCCTTCTCTTCGAACTTCCCCCTCCCCTTTCCATCTCCTTTGGGAGCTTGCCCATCAATCAATCTCCCTATGCACTGAGGCCTGCTCCACTCTCTGGCCTCCTTTTCAGAACTCCCAGGATCTATGGTTCAGCAGCGTCATTATTTCCTCCAGCAAGCCTGTTCATGGTCCCCTTGCTACTCAATTGATGGCCTCTGACAGCTGCCGTGGCCAGAAAATGGATGCCTCTGCCTCCAACTTTAATGAAGTTGGCCAACACATTCGGTCCATTACCAGGTGCTCAGAGCTTTTCCAGCCCAACAGGGACATGCCGTAAACCTTGTGCTTTGTGAATACAGCCTTGGAAATTCCAGGGTGAGGTCTCCCCGAACCATGCTGAGGATTCTGCGCAGGCAGGGCACCCTCAGTCTTAACCTGCCACCAGATGCTGCCATCGCTGGCCCTTCATTCTCAACAAGCACCAATGACATCAGGAGAGTGACGTCACAATGCCGTGAATTGGATGTAAGTGATGTAGGACTGTGCAACATCACCAGCCCCGCTCTTTCCTCCAGGCTCATCAGAGTCCAGTGGCAAGACGTAAGGTCAAGGCGACTGGTAATGACCCAGCTGCTAGCCATTCAGACTTCCTTTTTCTATCTTTCCTCCTCCCTTGAGGCCTCCTCAAAAGAGTTCTCCACAGCCACTGCCTCCCCTTCTCACCCATTTGCATCTCAAGCTTAACTTCCAGTTTCACTTGGGTGGGGCAGTGAACCAGAGATGAGAAGGGTGTGAAAGTCCATCAGGGCTTTCTCTGGGCCTTGGTCTCTGATACAAAGGCTGCACTTCATTGCTAACCCTAATGGCCATTTCCCAGTCTTCATTTCCGTCTCTGAAAATCTTCACTTTGCTGACCACACTTTATTCCTACATTGGCTGCCCTATCTCTACGGGTTCTCCTCCTGCCTGCCTGCCTGTCATATTGTTCCTTCTCTGTTACTGGATCGTCATCTACCCCCCCCTTATGTATGGCACTCCCCAAGGCTCTGGCCTGGCTCTCTTTTCTTCCTTCTCTACCCTTTCTCCCTGAGTAATAGTAATACCCGCATATTAGTAAATACTAATATAATACTAAGACATATTGATTGGTCTCATCGGCTTACTTGGGTTTAATTATAATCTCTGCACATAAAACTCCATAATCTGTATTTCCAACTTTAATTTCTTTCCTAAAATCCAGATCCTGAATCTCAAACTACCTTTTGGACATCTCCACCAGAATGTACATCATAAGCTCAGCAGAGAAGGTGAGCTCCCAGTGGGTAGGGACTTTTGATTTTTATGTAATATAAATTGGTGAGGAAGTGGAGGCAGTGACCGGGAGAACTCTTTCTAGGAGGTCGCAAGAGAGGAAGAAAGCTAGAAAAAGGCAGTTTCAATAGCTAGCACCAGACAGTATATTATACAAAATTTGCACTCGTAGGTTGGCTCTCTAATGGGCAACTGCTACCTTAGATTCTAGGACTAGTCATACTGGTGGCTGCTACTATTGCTCCCAAGCCCCAACTGGTGTGCTCCCCATCAAAAATTAGTCAATAAACAATTAGCTTGCAGCAAAGCTAAAGGTGATATGGTAAGGTAGTGGTACTAAGTTGGTACAGTAAAAATAGCAGGGACAAAACACACTTCACCACACACACTCCCCCCCCCCGAAAAATCCTCTAGGGCACTCCGTCTGGCAAATACACACAGGTCCATGGGAATGGCGGCCTTAACTGAGAGTATGATGGCAGCGAGGCAAACAGCATGGTAAAGTGACACCTTATAACTCCTAGCACTGGAAATCTGTTTCTCTCTTCATAGATAGGATGACGCTGTCCGTTAGGCAAACAGTTCAGCTAGGAGCTGAAGATCTGTGCCTTTTCTGAGTTCACCTCCAACACTTGTCTCTGCCACAAAGTGTCCTGTTCCCGCAGGATACCTTTTCTCCATTGGTATCTCTCTATAGTTCATCGAACTCCAGGACGCATCTCCACTCCATATGTGAGTGATTCCCTAGCCATCAGCTACTGCCTTTCTGGAGATTCCACAGCTGCTGCCTCATCAGCTCCCTGTGACCAGCAGCCCTCTTGGCATTCCCAAGATCCCTTGACAATTCCAATGTGGATGCTAGTTTACCTGAGGTAAGAAAGGATAAACAGAGGCTGCCGTGTGTTCATGGACACCTGGTGGTCAGGAAGGGGATTGGGGCTAGCTGCCTTTTTCTCACTAGACTCTTGGGGGGCAGCTCACAGCAGTCCCGATGCTTCAAAGCTAAAAGGAAAAGAGCAAATGGAGAGACACGCCTCCTTTGGCAGATGGCCTGAGGTCCAGCTCAGCAGCTGATTAGAGAACTTTTCATCATCCAGTGCAAAGCCCCTGAATCGTCTCTGGTCAGAAATAGTATTCCGTGCAGTGGACTGATAAGCAGGGAACATCTGCAAAGGCTCCATATAACCCACCAGGAACACCCAATCCAAGCATGCTCCGTGGGCCCCTGGTGCACTGCGCTCCAGTGTGTTACGCAGTACCTGACACATAGGAGGAGCTTATGCTTGTCAGGCACCCTCTTCTCCCATCCATCAGAAGGCACTGCTTTCCCATCTTCACCTTTCAGAATCCCTCAGAAAGCTCAGGTGCTTTCTCTGGGAAGCCCTCTCTGATCACTCCAACCGAACGTATTTCTTCCCTCCTCCGATACCGTTTGGGGAGCTTTTCCTTTGTCCCTCTTACTCCTAATCGATTTACCTACATAGAGGTTCCCTCCCAGGAATGAAGTTGGCTCCCTTGTCTTCTGGGGCTTGTATCTCCTCCGCTTTTCTAGGGGCCAGTTAAATTCGGGGGGGGGGGTCAACCTGGGCCTGTGAACTTGCTTTTTTAAAAAATCTTTTGATAACAGTATTTCAATGTAATCAGTTTCCTTTGGAATTCTATGGATTTTATTTTATTATTTATAATTTTATTATAATTTATATTATTTATTGATAATAGTTATTATTTTTATTATTATTAAAACATGATTCTGAGGAGGGGAGTATAGGCTTTACTAGACTGCAACTAAAGGGAGCTATGATGCAGACAAGGTTATGCACACCAAGTTAAAGGATTGTTAAAACAACTGAAAAGGACTTTGAAGTTTATTGAGTGTACACATACAATTATATTAAATAATAATAACTAGCATGTATATGGTATGTTAAGGTTTTGCAAAACAAAATAACGTTGCATAAGATAGGTTATCTCATTTGATCTGCACAACAGTTCTAGGAGGTAGGTGCTTTTATCATCTCCATTTTACAGATGAGGAAACTGAGGCACAGAGAGCTGTTAAGATACTTGTCTAGGGTCATTCATTCATTCTAGCCAGTGTCTGAGGCCGTATTTGCACTGGTCTCTCTGACACCAGGTCCAGCACTCTATCCCTTCTAGATAAAGAAAAAGAGGGCCAGCGAGGGGCAATGACCTACCCTGGGTCACACAGTAAGTAGGAAGGGTGGGCTTCAAACCGGAGCCTTCCTGCTCCAGGCTGGAGAGACCTTTCCTCTGGCATGACTGAGGGATGGCTAGAGATGATGGATGGGAGAGGGAATGAGCCAAGGCAGGAATAAGTGAGTGGTCCTGCGCCAGGTGGACATTAACGCTGGAGGGCAGGCCGAGCCAGGGGACGCCCTCGCGGATTCAGTGCCTGCGTGCGGGTAAGTTGGTGAGCGCTGAGTGGGAGGTGTGCTACTCACCGCGGGCTTTCCCGCGGCCCCTTTAAGAACAGGTGCGGAGACGGGGGCGAGGGGCGGGTCTTGAGGCGGGGCCCGAGATTGACCTCCCAATCACGACGTGAGGGCGGGGAGGCCGCCCGGAGGGGGCGGGAGCGAAGGCGGAGCGCGTCGCCCTGACGTCAGTACGTCTCACCGCCCCGCTCCCACCCGGCCGGCGGAAGTGCTGTGTTGGGCACTTCCGGTTGTTGTCTGGCTGGTTGTGTGGTGACTGCGTGGAGGCTCTCGGGGCGTCGGCGCCGCCATGGCCGGTATCAAAGGTGAGGGGGCGGCGAGCGGCTCTGCCGGGCAGGCGGCGGAGGGGCCGGGGCCTCGGCCTCCTCCAGCCCCGCCTCATTTCTCTCCCTATTCCCTCCCCCCCGCCTGATGTCCCTGCCCCCCCAGCTCCATGTCGCTCCCCCCCGCTTGATATCGTTGCCCCCCCAGCTCCGTGTCGCTCCCCCTCGCCTGATATCGTTCCCCCCCCCCGGCTCCGTGTCGCTCCCTCCGCCTGATGTCGCGTGCCCCCCTTCCATGTCGCTTCCCCCTTCTTATCGCTGCCCCCCCTTCACGTGGAGCTCCCCCCGCAAGCCTAATGTCGCGGCTTCCCCCCCTTCTCTGTTCCCTAAATGAGATGGTCTTTGTAAAGCGCATGGCGCGTGCCTGGCACACAGTAGGTGCCTAATAAATGCTTGCTGCCTTGCCCCTCCCCTCCGCTAACCGCTCTCTGCGCCCGTTCCCTCGCGAGAAGTTCAAGGAACTTCAGGGAAATTGAGGTTTCCAGGAACGTGACTGGCCTCCGCGCGTGCGCCGCCAGCCTCAGTTTCCTCCTCTGTTCAGCCCCGCTCCGACCCCGCTGAGGGCAGAGATGACCTTGGAGCCCCCTGACGGGGCAGCGGGGGTGGGGTCTGGATCACGCCCCCTCCCCACGAACACGAGCTCCCACTGTGGACGTCCTAGGGCGGGCCCTGCCCCTTCCGTCCGCGCTCCACTCTGGGGGTCTCTGCCCCCCAATCTTCTGTGGGCTCCAGCCGGGGCTTCCCAGGTCGTGACTCAGCTCGGCGTCCGCAGGCGGAAGTCTCGATCTGTGTCCCCTCCAGCTTTGCCGGTTCGGGTCCGAGAGTTCGGTAGTGACGTAGGGGCAGGGGAGATGGGGCGTCCAGACTCGGCGAAGTGCACGTGCAGTGGGACCGTGTGCTCGCCTTCCGTGGTGTCCCGGGGACAGCCAGGACAGGCTGGTGGGGGGGGGAGGCCGGCTCAGTCCCTCCTGGAGCTGCTGTTTTGGGGAAAGGGTGAGCCCCCGGCGGCGGGGAGCTTATGTTGTGGTAGCTTTCTTTTGAGGGGTTTCAGACGTGCTCGAGTGTCTTTAAACCCGATCCTGGTTAAGCTTCTTTGCCAAGGTTTAACCACGGCGCAGTTATTGCCAAAGAAAATAGAGTAATTTAAACAATGATGCTCCCCAGCCCACTTTCTGCGGATCTGAATTAAACAGCCGTGGTGATTCCTGCCCCCCTTACAGTCGGCTGTGGAGAGAGAGGTGAAGGGCTTGGAGTCAGGAAGGATGGCAGGCCTGCCCCAGACACTTCCCAGCTGTGGGCAAGTCACCTGACTTCTCCCAGCCTCCGTTTCCTCCTGTGTGGAGTGGGGTTAATGCTAATCATTGTGCCTGCCTCCCGGGGTAGTTGTGAGGATCGAAAGAGCTACGGTTGCTAGGCCCTTTGCGTGCTTCCTGTTGTGGTTAAGAGAAGGCAGCCAGGTCCTTTGGTGCTCGTCTCATCTGTACACCATCTCTAGACACTGCGTAGTGTTTCCGTCCAGCCCTAGTCTAGGTGGAGGCTTCAGAAGCAGACCAGTCACGTCGATGTTTGAGCCTCGTTGGGTTGTCATGATACATTGCTAGTGGGTTCTATTGGCGTATTATGTTGGCGTGCATTGTTAGTGGGTTGCAAGGCAACGTACAAATGTTGGTTCCGCGTCAGCCAAGTTGCCTGGTTCGTGCCAGCCTTGAGATAAACTACAATTTTGGCAGACCTTTGGGACGTTTTTACAGGAATCTGTCATTTATCCAGGGAAGTTGAGATCTTGTGTTGAGATAAGTGAATTTATTCCAATTTACTCTTGAATTTGCTGCAGCTTTAGCCATTTTCCATGGAAGTGATGCTTAATAGACAACATGCTTTTCCAGCTTCTTAAACAGTGTACCAGGCAGAGTCGAACCTTGTACTTAAAGCCATCATTCTCAATATTGGTTATTGTACTGTACCTGGAATACATTGGTGCTCACTAGCTTTGAAAAGAAGAGATGTGGATTGGTGTCCTTCCGCCCCATTTGGAATTTGGCTCCCCAGCAAGCATTTCATTCTCCGAAGAGCAGAAAAGTCTACCTAGGACTGTGGCCTTGGGTTCTGTGACGTGGCAGGGCGGGCTGGCATTAGTTGTTGGTGTCCACGTGCCCACATAGCTCCAGATCGTCTCACCCGTTGAGTTTTGTGACCACTTTGTCTAGTTTTGCCCTGGCTGGTTCTCCTACATTAGTTAGCGAGCACGAAGGGATTACTTCATGCCAGGCACTGCTGTGCCGTGCCAATACAAGTACAACTGAGTCAGCCCCTGCCCTCCACAGGCTTTCCAGGAGTGAGAGACTGCGGGCCCAGCAGACAAAACGTCCAACCTGAAGAACCGACCCAGCAATGCCAGGATAGGGAAGGGGATGTCAGGAGGAAGATTGCCTGGGCAAATCAGGAAAGGCCTCTTGGGCTAGGTGCCCTTTGAGCTTGGCCTGGACAGAAGCAATAGGGATTCCAAAAAGGGAAGGGGAAGAGGGAGAATAAGCAGATGTAGGGACAGCCTGCAAAGCAATGGAGGCAGGAAGGTGAAACGAAACTCCTTGGGTAGGTTTTATTATATTTTACAACACTGACACACCTTCACTTTCATGCTCAAGAACTTGGATATGACACCTAAGTTTTTAGATTTTATTTTTTACTTTTGTAAAGTAACATGATGTGAGGAATATAATTGGAGTTATTTTCAAAATTGTGTAACCTAGAAACAAACAGAATTTGGCTGCACTGTAGCTTGTATGGGGAAGAGCAAGTGGGTCAGATGGCCAGGAGCACACTGAGGTGCAGGGAACTCTCTAATCAGCCCTGACAGACAGTCTGGAGCCAAAGTGTGGAGCTTGTGTTTTATTCTAAAGGTAGTAGGGAGCCACTGAAGCTTCTTGAGTAGAGCAGTGACATGGTCAGCAGTGCTTCAGGGTTATCCACTGGCAGCCATGGGCAGGATGGATTGGCGAGAAGGGAACAGAGACTCTAGGAGGCTATCGCAAATAGCCCAGGAGAGAGCCGATGAGGGCAATGTAAAGAGTAGCAGGGATAGACGGGAGAGATGTTGAGGCCGTGGAATTGACAAGACTTTGCAATTCTTGGTTCTGGGGAGCTGAGAGAGAAGAGTCAAGGAGGCGCCCTAGGTGACCAGCCTGGATGATGGAAGTGCCAGCACAGGGAAGTTTGTTGTAGGAAGGCTAGATTTGGGTGGAAGGATAATGACGTAGAGTTGGAGAAGGACATCCAGCTGGATGTGGTCTTAAGAGTGATGATGGCTGGACGTGTTCATTTGGGAGTTCTCTGAGTAAAGATTATGTAGAAAACAGGTGAGGCGTCATAAGATTGGAGAAAGGCAAATGCCTTGATTTTCCTCAAAAAGGGAAGAGAATGGAATCTGCAACATATGCACCAGTGAGCTTGATTTCCATTTCAGAGGAAATTCTAAAGCAGATCATTAAAGAGATGGTTAGTGAACTTCTAGAAATGGAAGTAGTGCTCACAAAGAGCTGTCCAGGCTTCATCAAGAACAGGCTGTTCCAGACTAAGTTCATTTCCTGTTTTGAGAGGATTACTAGATTAGTAAATGAGGGGAATAATGTGGATATAGTTTGTATTTTAGAAAAACTTTTGATGAAATGTTATCTAGTCATTTTCCAGTCGTATCCAACCCTTCATGACTCCATTTGGGGTTTTCTTGACAAAGATACTGGAGCAGTTTGCCATTTCCTTCTCCAGCTCATTTTACAGATGAGGAAACTGAAGTAAACAGGGCTAAGTGATTTGCCCAGGGTCACCCAGGTAGTGTGATCTGAGGCCAGATTTGAACTAAGATAGAAGAGTTCCTGACTCTGGGCCTGGTGCTCTATCCACTGTACCACCCAGCTGCCCATTTGATAAAATTTGTTGGCGTATATCTTCTGCCAGTCTGATGGAGAAGTATCTAATCGTTGGGTTAGATACTAATACAATTAAAACCAGTCAGAGCTGTTTGATTGACTGGACTCAGTGTTAATATATCAATGTGAAGCTGCCCAAGCCTCTGTGCTTGGCCCTCAGCTATCTGCTCCTCAGATTTTTAACCCAAAGTTGAGAGGAATAACTGAGACCATAGGTAATGGGGCTAGGATTCAAAAAGAAGGGACAAGCTAGAGCATTGAGCTGAATCTCACAAGATGAAATTCAGTAGGAATAAATGTAAAGTCTTAGATTTGGGCCAAAAAATCACAAATATAAGGTGGGGGCCACTGTGCTAAGTATCTGTGGGGTTTTTGGTTTGTTTTTGTTTTTAAGTCTGCCCACAAAGAGCTTAGATTCTGATGAGGGACAACAGCCCATCCAGAGGAATGATGACTGGAGAAGTTGGAGGGTGGGATACCTGATGGGCAGAGACCTGGGTGGATGATTGGATGTAAGGCTGGGTCATGGCCCTGGTGTGGAAGGCCAGGCAGGCGATGTGGTGGCCCAGTTTGTTCCCACTAAGGGTTAGACAGCAGTTTGAAAAGCGGACTGCGAGCTCAACAAGTCAGCAGTGGGATGTGGCAGCCAAAAACAGCGTATTCCATCTTGAGCTGCTGAAAGGCAGAATTTCCAAGCAGAGGGCTAGAGCCCCACTGTACTTTGTTCTTATGAGACCTCATCTGAAGTGTTGTGTTTGGGATCCGTGCTTTCAGAAGGACATTGGTCAATTGGAAAGTGTCCAGAGAAGAGCGGCCAGAATGGGGGGAGCCTCAAGTCTGTGGCATGGGAAGATCATTTGAAGAAGCCGAATTTGCTTCTTCTGGAAGGCGGAGGGAGAAAGGGAGGGAATAAGCATTTCTCTATAGAGTACCCACTTTGTGCCAAGCACCTGCAAATAGGTGCTATTACTATTTCCATTTTATACTTGAAGACACTGAGTCAGACAGAGGCTAATGATTTTCCCAAGGTCACACAGCTGGTAAGTATCTGAACTC